TGTACTGTTATTGTGGTTATCATTTTTATTGATTGCACGTATAGCTCGGTAGTTTAGATAGTCATAATAACTGTCATTGCACATCGTGCTTATGGGTTCAAAAGGACAACAGAAAGTACAGAACAATTGCGTGATCCATTGATAGTTGTTGCGAATTTTGGTGTTTTCTCGTAGAATTATATTTCTCAGTGAGGTTATGTGAGGGTTTATGCGATTCTCTTTTAAACAGTTTTTACATGAGATAGTATTGTTTGCTGATGATACTTCTTTAATTTTTAAAGTTAAACGACATTCTTTAAATTATGACGATGTTAACAATACTCTCTCCACTTTAGTGCATTGGTTTAGTGCTAAAAACTTAATGTTGAATAGTAAAAAAACGAAATGTATTAAATTTACAACTCCCAGCGAAAAAAGTGTAAAAACTGATATACTTTTACATGGGGAAGCGTTAGACCTAATTGACTCGACTGTATTTCTTGGCATAACTGTAGATGCCAAATTGCAGTGGGGCCCCCATATTAATAAACTGTCGAGTAGACTTAGCTCAGCAGTCTTCGCAGTCAAAAAAATTAGACAGTTGACTGATGTGGATACGGCTCGTCTGGTATATTTTAGCTATTTCCACAGTATAATGTCATATGGCATTCTACTTTGGGGAAATGCAGCCGACATAAATACTATTTTCATCCTGCAAAAGAGAGCTATTCGAGCGGTTTATAACCTGGGCCCCAAAGATTCACTAAGAAACCTGTTTAAAGAAATAAAAATATTGACTGTAGCTTCTCAGTACATACTTGCTAATGTTATGTATGTCCACAAAAATAAGAATGACTTTTCAAGATTTAGTAATGTGCATGATGTAAATACTAGGAACAAGCATAAATTAGTTCTACCCTCAACTAGATTGCGTAGAATAAGTAAATCTTTTATGGGACAATGTATACGCTTTTACAACAAAATCCCAGAAAACGTTCAAAATGAATCCGTTGCCAAATTCAAAAAACTTGTAAAGGAACGTTGGTGTGTTAATGGCTATTATAGTATTAGTGATTATCTGAATGATAACACACTCTGGAAATGAATTGAACGCTCCAGGCTCTTTCAAGTGGAATTTAATAATTGTACACATATTTGTAATTTTTTTGGCAAGTAAAAAAAAAATGTCCCGCTGAGTTTCTTACGCCGGTTCTTCTCAGGTCAGTGGCTTTCCTTCCGAACCGGTGGTATAGTTTTTTGACCATCAATAAGTAAGTGAATGCTTCTATATTGAATAAAGATATTTGACTTTGAGTTATACAAAGAGCGTTAGTACGGAGCAACGGATATTTGGATAAATCTTGGTCCCTCAACATAACATTACAATACGCCCTTCTAATTACAGTTATTTTAAAAAGTTCCCCAAATGTAAGTAGGTACGCAATGAATCTTGGTAATATTACTGATTTTAGATTTTAGCTGTACGTATGCACTTCTAGAGACTTAAGCACTATGTGATGGGTTATTTAATTAGAGCAGAGCCTGGGAAGAGACTCGATTTCGTTATGTCCAGGCATATGTTCAAGTAAGTATTGTCTGTGTACTGTGCTTCGGTTAGTGCACACGGAATAATTCTGACTCCAACTATTTTATATACGTAACAATGGCAAGCGAGCAGCAGCATTTGCGTTGCTGGACTTTGAGCTGGGATTAGGCTGTCTTATTGAAGATTTTCCCTACGGCCTAGCAAGACCAACCAGACGACACCACTCCAAGCGGACTCTTACTCTCTGTAAATCTGTTCTACAGTTAGTGCGAGGAGTTACAAAATCCGTCATCCACGTTTTATTAAATCCAAAAGAGAAGTCATATAGGCCTGACCTTTCCCTCTGACTTGTACTTTTCAGATAGCAAATACTAGTTGCTAGTAGTTGCTAGTAGTTGCTAGTAGTAGTAGTAGTAGTAGAAGGATTTCCTCAAACCTCAATATTAAGCAGCTCATTGTGTCTTAGCCCAAAGCGGCTGTAAGGAAATTGTCCTAGTAAAAGCGCAGCTCAGAAGCTTTCTCAATGCGAAACCGTTTAAAACACAAGTGCAGTCGTGTGCAGACAGATACCGCAAAATGCCAATGGAAAACTTTTCGAAGTGGCTTATTGGTGATCCTTATTGAGTTCTCAAGAGGAACCGTTTTGGGACTTTCGCCTTGAAATTACATGATCTGCGCCTTGATTCGCTATGATACTAAAAATTTCTTACATATAACGTGTGACGTCATCACACGTTCGTAACTAGAAAGAGTCTTGCTCTAGATTCAAACATTTATTTTGTACAACATTTGAACAACAACCTAACGTAGGTATATGAAATACCAATTTATATTTTTAAATACCAGGAATAACGAACTGCAGAAGTATATTATTTGCAGATGACAATATATCGATAAGTTTCAACACATAAATACCTGATATTATCTGTAAATGACATTAATTCTACTATCGGTATCGGTTGAATTATTATTTAATATTTAATTTGAATGCGACACAATATATTATAAATTTTTACAAAATTTAATTTGACATAAATTATGATGGACAAACTTTAAGTAGGGCTTACCATGTCACATTTTTGGAAATCAAAATTGACGAAGCATTGCAATGAAGAGAACAAATAAGGACGGTGAATACAAAATTAACAAATTTTCTTATCACTACATAGCATAAAACAAAGTCTTCCCGCTGTCTGTCTGTACTACATGCATGTTTGTTTGTACATGTTTGCTTAGATCTTTAAAACTACGCAACGGATCTTGATACGGATTTCTTTACGAGATAGAGTTATTCAAGAGGAAGGATTATGTGTATAATACATTGCACCCGCGCGAAGCCGGGGCGGGTCACTAGTATGTTATATAAACTAAAAAAGTAACAAAGCAAAAAAGGCAGACGTAGTTAATATGAACGGAACAAAAGTGGTGGAATTTTCCAAGTTAATTTTTTTTTCAATGGATCTTGCCGTACGATGTCATGAAAAGGGTGCTTTTATAATAGAGTATTTTCGAAAAGTTTAAATGTAACGTTTAACATCGAATATACACACATAGCACGTTTTTATATCTTTTGATTTTTGTATCTGAGAAAAACTTATTATTGTTTTCTCTTTTTATATTGTTTCTCCTTTCTTTAATATTTGTATATTTAAAAAAAAATGCCTTGGCCTTTAAAATTACATTGATAAATTGAATTTTAATATATGGCATGCAAATATTCGTTATTTAAATAATTTTTGTCATATTTGAGATAAAAAAATTACAAAATTTAATGATGTTTTAAAATTATATAAAAATATGGACTATTTACAATTATAAGCAAAAAAGCTAGTAAATGTTAAAATTATAAGCAAAAATCTCATTGAAACACACTAAAAAGTATATTACACATTTCTTCCATTCGATTGACTCACGTTATGGAAAATACGCAGATGAATACAAATTTTATACATGTTTCTTTTAATTTTTTATAGCAGCAGGAATCATAGTCAATCGTGTTATAAATTTGACATTGATATACAGAATCTTAACAAGATTCCACGAAAATAACGTAACGTGTAATGTGGTCATACAGAAATTAAGGCCCTAGTTAGTCCTATTATCTCCCCTTACCAATATCGAACAACTAGACGCTTCGCGAAAGTAGGTACTCGAAATGAGCTAGCTTTTTGCTTTGTCGTTCACTATGCGAACAACATTATGCGACAATGTGAAGCCAGAGGTCTATCTTTCTGTCCAGGTAAAACGTGAGTGTCATTGTAAGACACAATAAGGTTTGGGGTTAGTTTTACTGAACTGATATATTTCCCATATATTTGTCACCGCTTACCATTACGTGGAATAGCTAACGTTTTCCAAATAATATAGAACACAAGTGCTTTAAAAATCAGCGTTTATCTTCGATAAACGAAAAAACTGTAAATGATTATGTCATAAAGTTTTGAATCTGCGGTAGGTTACCAAGTCTGATATTCTAGATTCGAGCCATCACTGCTTAACTTCTTACAAGTTTCCGTCGGACGGAGCCTGCCATCTCCGTGCCCGGGCGAGTCTTAATACTAATGGAATTATTAATAGCAAATTTAAGTGCTGTTTAAGACATGATCATGGTGAAGAGAAACCTCGTGAGAAAACCGGGATGTCCTCGAAATAGTAAATGAAATATTTGGAAGGCATGTGACCAGCGCCCGGGGGAGGCCTTGCGGACTTTGCCCTAAACCCTCTATCATCCAGACGAGGCCTTACAAGCTATCCCTTTAGTAAGGGGTAAGTGATTCTACAATTGTTTTAAAGTACTCTCTTAAAGTATTTAGTTATTGGTATTGACAGAACATCATACGTTGATTGTTCGGAAATGGCTTTTGATAATAATATTTAGTCATATAGATATATCAATGTTGTTAAAGAAAAGCAGACAACGAAAACTTTAAAAGGTGAAACACGGAACCTTAATTATCTGATAGAAGAATGCAAATGAATGAAAAATAATAACGTTTAATAGAGAAAAAAATATAAAGACACTCGGCGATCAGGTGAAGTAGAACCGTAAATTTTTGACTAGGGAGTAAATTATTTTTTGTTACTTGCAGTTATTTCATGAGAAAAATTAGTCAAAATAAAATTTTGTGTATTAATTTCATTATTTCTGTTCCCCTTTATCATAAATAAAGCAAAGATGATTTAGTAAAAAATAAATCTTGTTAGTTGCTTTAGTTTTTCGATAAATTTAGATCCTCTAATGTAGAAGTAATTGCAAATAAAAGCGTTGTTACAATTGAATTCCACGCAAATGTTCCGCTTATAACATAAGCGAACAACTAAGCATTGTGTAAAAGTGGAGAGATCTACTCAAAACCAAAAACGAAAAGCCTTGAAGAAGTTGACGGGTGCGGCGCCGTAAGAAAAGTATGCAGCAGATCAGGAAATAAGTAGCAAATGTACAGAATTTATTCAATTACATTAGCTAAATACTTACATATGTCGAGCGCGAATAAACTCATGAAACGGGCGAGGAAAAGCAGGGCTACAATACGCGCCACCATCTCGCCGAGTCACCACGTTCACTTCACCATCTCCGACACAATCCTTAAACAAAGGGTGATTCGTTTACAACGTTTTTACGCCAGTCAAATAACTAGCACTGAGTGTGGAAATTCAAACGACAACATCACCACATACGTTGTGACCATACATACATTCTCTTTTTATTTTCTAAGCATCCCCGAGAAGAATACTGAATTTAAAAATTACATGTACGAACACTAACAAACTCTTCAACGGCCTCTTAGTACTCCGTTACCTCCCGCTTCCGGGTTAGTTCCTCTTAGTTACTCCTTTGTTATGAGAAACAAAACAAAAAACACGCTGCTCTATGTCCGGGGTGAACGCGAGATGAGTTGAGAATGCACGTGTTGTGAATGATTTGCACAACAAATGAAATTATGTTTTCTAAACTCCGACGTTCGCAACTATAGGCGGATAGGTACAAGTTTTGTTCTCAAGTTTTGGCTTAGTTCTTAAAACAATTTTTTTTGTTTTACTTAAATGAACCAATTAAAATTAAAATACTTATCTGGACAAATTCGAATGTTTCAGAAATATTCGATTTCAATTTATTTGTTCTAAACTAACTTATCACAGCGCAAATTATTTTCCGTTACCTACGTCACACCCGGCCGTCACGGGATGCGCGATGGGAATGAGCAAATGAGAGTGTCCGCGCAAAATGTTTTATTACAGAAACTAGGAAAACAGTTTTGGCAAATTTCAAGAGCGCGAATTTGACGAGTACCGTGTTCATTAGACATACGCTTTTCTGTTTATTGCAATAAATGCTCCTATTTTTATAAGTCGATACATTACGATTAATAAAATTTTAAATAATGAGTTATAACTTACACATACACCTTTATAACATGGCAGTGAGACCACAAATGATCATCTATGTATACCAATATTGTTGTATTCAAAGTAGCTATTTTATAAATAAAATTATCAATGTTAATTAACACTTAAAATTTATCAGTGGTAGTTTTTCTACTGCTATAAAAAATAGCCTCCAATCATATTTATAAGAGAAATTAAATTTTAATATTACAAAAAAAAATATTATAATACAGCACATATTGATAATCCCTTTTTGAATTTAGTTGAAAGTATATACATTTCACTCAATATTTGTGTTTTACTTCATTGGATCAAAAATAGCAGAGCTAAGACAAAAAAAAGTTTTTATAGAGTCCTTGTGTCTGAGAGTGATGTGCGTGTAGTTTGTTTTGATAAAGAAATTGTGTTTCATACTTGGCCAGTTTCTAGTATATGTCAAAAACCAAGTAGAAATTTAGAACTCCAAAATAGAAGAGTTAAGGTAATGTTTATAAAATTATAGTATTCACATTTTTATAGTTTATTTCTAAGAATTAAAAAAAAATTGTGAAAATCACATGAAACAAAGGATCTTTGAGATAATTTTTAGCAGAAAAATAAAATATCAAAATTATTACTATAACTGAGAATCTTTCATTTTAGTTAAGCTACAAAGCAGTATGTATTGGCCAATATATTAAAATTCTTTTTGGCATTAAATAAGTTCTTTTTGGGATTTAAATAATTCAGCCAGACTTTAAAACAAGTAAATTATGAAAATATTTTAAATAGATCTGATACTTAGCAGTGTCTTAGTTTTAGGTGAGCACACACTAAAAGTATTAAATCAAATTAACTTTTGCAGTGATTCATAGTATTTTTTCTGATAATTTAATATTATATTTATATGCAAAATGTAGTTGGGCAAAGCAAGGTATAATAAATAGATTTCTCATTTCTTTTATTTATCTTAGTCTATAAAAAATAAAAATTATATATATATATATGTTATACTCAAATTAAACTGCAATTGCAATAAAGATATAATCAGCAATTATTTATCATGAAATTATTATATTGTCATATTTTTACACCAATAATTTGATATAAAGCAAAAGGTTTACAGATGGAATGAAAAAATATGCAAACATGTGTTACGCATGTTTTTAAAGACATAATTTTTCAAATTAATTCATTGTTTTGTGACGTAGTTTATGAATTATGTGTCATTTGAAAATTCGTTATTATGCAAAAATTAACAAGTTATAATTGTATAAAGACTACTTCTATAAATACTAGTGAGATGTGTAAATTAAAAATGATATATTCATAGCATGACTTTGGGTAGAAGCAAATGAAAGTGGATAGCATTTAAAGAATGATATTTGTTTGCACAGGTGTACACCAAACAAAGGGAACCAGTTTAAAAGTAAGTTTTATGTAATCTCTAAATTAAATAAATATGGAAAATGCAAGGCAAAAAAAGTAAACAGTAAAGTAACGCACCTTTAAGTGCCAGATACATAGGTGAAACCCGGTGACATGGGGAATAAATTAACATAATATCTCTGTCCTCACACTTTTCAAATCACTAGCCATCACGCGATAATTTTAACACTTTATAGCAATATGCGTTAACTGACATAAGAAAACAATTAATCCATGGTGATGTTTAGTTATGATTATGAAAAAATAATGCACGGTGAATAAGAAAATATTTTAACACCTTCAATTAAGCGACTATGGCTCGCGCATGAAGTTAAATGCAGTCAAGCCAAGTCCATGTATAGCGTGAAGATATCCATAGGTCAAAAAGCCGCATAGACAACTAAAGTAAAATCTCTATGGTTGTTTATTTTTTTAAATAAAATGGCACTATCAATGTAGAAAATTGTTGGTACAGACATAATTATAATTTGGTACATATTTTACATTATATTATTTTGATTTTATTTTTAATCATATATAAAATAATTAAGCTACTACATGATCATCGTAGAAATCTATAAGAGTATTAAGATTATAATTTGTAAAATATATAAATTCTATATTTTTATAATACTACTAACATGCTCACATAACATAACTGCAGCCTTAAACCAAAAACCTTAAAAAAGTATAATAACTAAAATATACTATTAAAAGGAGTCCCTTATGAAAGGATCCGAAGATACTGGCAGCGTTCCCCCTTTGAATAGCTAGACTAATTTTTGGTCCGAGGTAGCTGCCAGCTCTTCGGTCTACTCTGATGTCGACTAACCTTTTTGCTATTTCCTTAAAAAGCCTTATAGCGCTAGGGCCCCACGGACCAAGGGTCTCGACACCGAATGGGACAAAATCATATTCGGAGCCTAGACCCCTGTATTTGCAAGATTTAGCTTTTTCAGCCGCTTCGCAAGCCGCACCAGCTCTGTTGTTGGTTCCTTGTAGATGGGGCCAGCGTGTCTGAACAAGTTGCATCCCATACCAGCACCCGGCCCATCTTCCATGGAATCAAGCTCATACCGTCCGGTCTCGAGTAGACTTGGCACGTTGACGGTGGCAAGAGACCGGCGTATGATATCGTTAAGTGCGGCATGTCTCGAAAAGCGTCCTGCACTTCTTTGGCATGATGGTCCGTGATGTACTAGCTTGTCGACATCATTTCCACAGGGACATTTATGAGGAGCGCATACCGGAACCCTAAGCCGTAGACAGGTTGCGATTCAGAGCGTGTCAGGCTCAAGAAATGTTCCTGTATTTGACGAAGGGTACCCGTGAAGCCAGTAGCCAGCATCATGCGCACCCACGGCCAAAAATCTAGCACGTACTGAACCTGTACTACAGTTCAAAATATTGGCATAAGTCAATTTGCAGTTTATGTCGGCCCAGCTCCTCTGTGAATTTGGAGAAACTATTAAGAAATCCTTTCTAGCTCCTTCCAAGCCAGCAATCACAAAGTTTGTAGGGGAAGCCCTTAAAATTTTACTTATGAGATTTGTTGAACTATAGGAAAGCAACACAGGAAATTTTGTGAATCCCCAAACCACCATAATGGATGGGTACCATATGGGATGCTTGGGTCCAAGATTGCTCGTTCAGCTGCATATTAAAAATCGATTATAAGCTAATTTTGATTAAGTCATTTACTTGTGTCAAAAGATCTGGTCTGATTCCAAAAGGAGCAGCAACAGAGCACATACATTTTGGGACAGAGAAATTAAATAACCAGCTGTCAAATAGCTTTTCACATGTTATTTATGTTGCAAAAAATTGGAAAAATATCCTCTGTTTTGATCAGAATGATCTTCATAATGATCAGTGTATCAGAAACCAGGCGTAAGAGTCATAATAGCTCAATGACAGGACACTTGCTTTTAATTCGTGATAGTCGAGGAACCTGAGTTTAACCAGCACCAATGAAAGTGTTAATTTTAAGTGCTAATTTATGACGTGTCGATGAAGGATAACATCGGAAAGTTATTGGAAAAAAAATTACAACATATCCACAATGGGGTGGCATTGTGTCTTAATTTGAATAAAGGCCATTTTTATTATAATCTGTAAATTTTATAATTAAGCATTTGTAATTAAATTCTTTGATAATCATTTCTCTTCAGGATTTTAAAAAAGACGTAAACGTTATTTTATAACATAACATAACATTATTATGAACAAAACATTTTTTTAATAATTTTTCAAAATAATACAATATACGATTAATTTTTTGTATCGTACTGTTTTGTGGCAACATTTGATTTACAATTTACATTCTTTTTGATTCATTCAGTTCAATGTCATTCAGTAAAAAGACTCAACCCAGCTCTCAAGCCTCAACGCCAGAAGCGGCCAGAAGTACTGATAGTTCATAAACAACAGTCCATTCCTTTTTATAAATTTATTTTTATTGAATAAAGTTACTAAATTCTAATAATGGCTAATATAGCTGCCAAACGTATTAAAAGAGAGTTTAAAGAAGTCATGAAATGTGAAGAGGTGAGATTATAATTGTTTCTCTATACGGAACTATTAGTTGTAACTTGTGAGAACGAAGTTACTTGCATATTTGAAAACGTCGTATTCTCATACAGTGACAACAAGAAGGCCTCTTTTTGTCTATAAGAACAGTTCAACTAAATTTAGTTTAATGAATGGTCAAATATTTTATTTGTTGTGTTTTTAGAGTGATTCAGCATTCTTTTTTTTATTAGTCACTTTTTCTTGTTTACCCTCTAAATTCATAGCCTCGTTATCAAGGTATCATCATTTAAAAAAATTAATTTAGTTTTGATTAGGTTAGATTATCATAATTTTGTATTATATGTACGATATTAGTAACTGAAATAAATATAGGTTTACCTTGAAGTAATCATCATCGTTGCAAAAATACCGTGACATATTCGTGATTTAAAAAAAAGCTATATCTTTAGATTTTAGTATAAAACTAGATCAACATAAATTCAATTTAGAATGTTTAATAAAGTTATTTATTGGATCTTTTAAAATAAATAAAGTAAATATTCAACAAAAGGTGCTTTTTAAAATCAACTGCTGAGGTTAAAGCTTCAAACTTTTCTCCATTTTCCTTATCTCTTTGGATTGATTAAGATATCAAAATAATAACATAGGTAGAAGGCCTTTGGAAGAATTTTAAGCAAAAGGTATACTGCCAGATTATTATAAATATATAAAATTTCAAAAATTCTATGACCTTAGATTTCACTACCCACTGCCTAGTGTCAGCTTTGTTTAGTTTCTCTAGATGACTGAGTAAATAATTTCCTCAATAATTTATTACTTTTTAAATAGTTACTTTGGTTATATTATATAATATATGAAATGTATTGTTATTACAATATATATATATATATATATATATATATATATATATATATATATATATATATATATACATTGTGTGAAGCAGCAGCTCATTTGCCACTTTTTCACATCTCATAACATACACCTTAAAAATTGTATTCAACATAAGTTAAAATTAATTAAAAAATAGGTTGTAGTTGAAATATGAATCTAAAACATCCTGGAAACCACCTGAAGGTGCAAAACTTAAGTAAAATCAACCAGCCGTTTAGAAGTTCAGTGACATTCACATGCATATATAAAGATAGGAAATGTTATTTAATTATACACAGGTATATTGTTCAATATAAAATGTGGCATACAGGACAGCCATATAACTGTTATATATGTATGCAGAAAATGTATTTCTAGATAAATTCAATTGCGACAGTGTATGTTGTCCATCAAAGACTTTGATTGAGTGTTACATCCATATTAAAAGCATGAACAAAGTTCAATCAGTGTACATGTGTGAATAACTAGTAAAAACTACTTAAATATATGGTACACTGTTAATATTAATTTATTTAAATCTGTGGCTGTTTTTTCCATTATCTACAACCATTATTATATTTAGAAAATTTACTAAAAAAGTTGAATTATACACTTGTGAAAACTATAAGATGTATTATATAAATGTGAAACAAAATTAGTTGAATGATGTCTGAATACACATGGTGATTGGTCTCAATTTTATAATATGTGGTAATTATAATTTTTATACTAAGGTATAGAAAACAATTTCTTTGTTGTTATTACATGATAAATCAACTTTAGTGAAAATTGTCAATATTACACTTCTAGGTGTATTTGCAAAATATATGGCAATTAACTCTTCATAAAAACTCCCTATAAGTTAAAGGCCATCTTATAAGTCAAAGTTAATGTGATGAGTTTAAAGATGTTTTACGAACATAAATTTCATGTGTACAATTTTTTTTTTTTTTTTGTTGGGCTGGATGAGCCACTGTTGGCCTTAGGGGCCTTTACAGTTCCGACGGACTTGAGGTGGCCTGGCGCACGAGGCGCCTAGCCTGAACCTCGGCGTACTATTATTACGCGTTATGGTGACTAAGCTCGAGGGCTCCCGGGGGAGCCTCGGCTCGGGCCGTCACGCTATTATTGTTACCGGTTTGGGAGGCCGCCAAGCTCTTAGGGCGCTTTGGCGGGCGCTCCATGGAGTGATCAGGCTCAAGGGTCCCCAAGAGGGGACCTCGGCTTGGGCTGTCACTCAGCACGCGTTTAGCATTGCGATTCGAGGGTGCCCGAGAGGGCCAGACCTCGGCTCGATCGGTAGCTATTATCTGACTGGAGGTAGCTATTATCTGACTGGGGGGCATGTGTACAAACACCCAGATCCGAAACAACTATCTGTGGGTTACACAAGTAGTAGGTGCCAATACTTTGTCAATTTAGATAAGTTTTATATTGTTTGTAGGTTACTTATATCACAATTTGTTACAGGTGGCAGGTGGTGCACTTAAATTGGAATTGGTCAATGATAGCTGGACAGAGTTAAAAGGTCAAATTGTTGGTCCCCCTGATACTCCTTATGAAGGAGGAATATTTCTTCTTGAAATAAAAGTACCAGAAACATACCCCTTTAATCCACCCAAGGTATTATTTATATATTATAGGGTTTGTAAATAAATTAATTAGTCCATATATTTATAAATTTTTGTTTGAATTGTTTAGATTCGCTTTATGACAAAGATATGGCATCCTAATGTATCATCCGTGACTGGTGCAATCTGTTTGGATATTTTGAAAGACCAGTGGGCTGCTGCATTAACACTGCGTACAGTTCTTCTATCCATTCAGGCATTGCTCTCTGCAGCTGAGCCAAATGATCCTCAAGATGCTGTTGTTGCAAAGCAATATAGAGAGAGCCCGCAACTTTTCAATTTAACAGCAAAACATTGGACAAATGTCTATGCAGGTGGGCCATGTATTATAGGTGATTTCAATCGAAAGGTGCAACTATTGAGCGATATGGGTATTGATGAACATCAAGCTAGAGTTGCTTTATCAACATTTGATTGGGAATTGGAGAGAGCCACAGAACAGCTTTTTAGTTAGTTCCACTAATGAAGAAAATGGTATTTAGGTAATTTTATAGTTAATACTACCCCTTTAAGGATTTTGTGATGAAATTTATTCTTCATAAATATTGTTTTCAGACCTTATTTTGCTTTATGTTGATATTTCTTTCGCGATTTTCAAAGCTGTGTGAAACATTCATTTAACAACCATATTTCTGCAAACTATGTAACTATACAGATTATTGGTTAAAAAAGAAGTTAGTTCACGATCTCAAATTTTAAAATTATATATGTACTTACACATGTATTTATATAAATACCATCCTTAAACATTATAGTTATTTTTACAAACAATGAGTACTTATAACTTATGATTTTAATACTTTATAGGGTCTGCTAAAGATCCGGCCTCTAAATTGATATCTAAACATGAAAATCATACACTAGATTATTTTGGGTAATCTCAAGTCACCTATGAGAACTCAAACCCATTTTGTGGTGAACATTGCCATATTAAATCTCTAAGCACTCTACTTTTAATGTAATAGTGGGCCAAAACAAAATTATTATTTTTTTCAATGTGAACTGTGACGTACAGACATACATTCTCCAGGAATTTTGACTTAGAAAACGATGCATGAAAAATCTCAAAAATGACAGTGACAGTACTTAGATTGTATACAAATATATGTTACTAGATGCCGTCTCACCTCTTCACAGATGTAAATTATTTGACACTTTCGTATTCTTATGTGCGTCTTGTATGCAGATCAGTGTTTAGAACACAGGTTTTTTTCTCTTATTAATATTTTTAAATGATAAAAAAAGTAGCCGTAATTAGATGTGAAGAGTAAAATCTACAACCTAGCTATCATAAAAAACATTAAAACTGTCTCTGCTACGGACCTCGCCACCTCTTCCTTTTCCTCCACTTGGCCTCGCGATCTTGCCCTATTCTGGATCTCCAACATGATTGTTCTTGCAAAGCGCATGGAAGAGTCAAATTTAATAATAAATTGGTAATATTATATTTTTATGTTGATGAAAATTATGAAGTCATTAAAATCTTTGTTTAAGAGATTTTAATTATTTGTTGGTTTTTGGACAAAAAAATTAAAATTTCCTAATTCATTAAATGTTCATTGATTCTCTTGCATGTCGCCCCTGAGTGTTGCTTCACCCATTCGGGATCTCCAACGCGACCTTCTGGCGCCGCAGTTTTATATTCTTTAGAAGTAGGGACCACAAGACCATATGGAATTAGGGTGTTCTTTACCGGATCTGTGACTCACTTTGAACCTAATCTAATCCTCCTACAACCTAGGTCCACTAAGGCTCCTTGATATTTAAATGTGCAGCCACAAACCTAGCTAATCGGTTAAAGATTAATTAATATTGTAACAAATTATTTGTACAAACTACGAATATAGCAAATTCTATTTTTAACAAATGTTGAATATATTAAATTATTATTCGATTCTGGTCTCAGATAGATCACACTGCTTTTTGGGTCTTCTTGATGTATAAAAAATTTGCAACAATGAATCTATCCTCAAGCTGTTAGAGATAAATAAATGTTAAACTAAATTTGTCTTATTTTATGACTAAACTTTAATACCTGGTAGTGTGAATTTTACTCATTTAAAAAGATATGATTATTTCAATAATCAATATAAATTAAAAATAAATTTACTATGTCTGTCATTTTAAATGCAGTGGTTTGTTGATTAATTATGTTTGTAGTAATGTACTGCTATTATATTTATATATATATAACTAACGAACCGCCCTGGTTTCGCACCGGTGCAATGTATTATAAATAAATATTATACTTTTGAACCTTCCTCTTAAATCACATGTCAAGAAAAAAAAACGCATTGAGATCTGTTGAGTAGTTATAAAGATCTAAGAATACATAGGGACAGACAGACAGCGGGACGATTTTGTTTTATATTATGTAGTGAAGATGTAATGGGTACGTTTTTAAACCATTTAAAAATTTTTTTAGGAAAAAATACCTGTGTCGCTGATCTTATGTACCTTTACCAAAAAATATTTCTTTTTCAATTTGAAATGTACCTATATGATATAACACCTGCTCCTTAATTCATTTAATTATAATTAGTCTTATCCTAATTTTATAACTTTTTTAATGGTTTTTTTATTTAATGTTCTGAAGAAATACTTTGAGCCCTAAATCATTTTTACATAAATCAAAATAACGATATTAATTCATAATTATATATAAGTTCATTGCATTTTATGTTTAGATGATTCAGAAAATCGAAAGTTCGTAAAGATGGAAGAATTCACTGACATAACTTAAATTTTTGTTAAATGAAGTTATGTGAGTGGAATGAAAATAATTTCTTGTGAAAATGAATCTTCCTAGATTTTCCTTTTTGTTTTGTAAGTAGTTTTTGCAAGATTTGATTTCATTCCACAGAACATTGTATTAAATTTTTCGTTCCCAAAAATATTTGTTTATTCTGTGGGCAAAAAAGCCTGCCGGCAGTATGTATGGCAGTTTTGCCAAGTGCATGTATTTTCATGCATCTTAATCCCTGAAGCGTAGGTGTACTGGAAATCTGGACGTGTAGGTATATAATCTAAGTTACAGTACATAATGGTATCTTAATAATCGTGGATAACATTTACTTTGGACAGGTTTTAGCCACAAATTTAGGGTTGAAATATGCATATTGGGTTTTTCAAGGTCTAAAAATTTAGCACCATAATTATTTCATTAACCATTAATTAATTACTTCAACAATTTGTAATGAAAAGTAATTAAAACAAATTTCTATTTTATTTATGTTAAAACGTAAAACTCATTTACACAATATCTTTGAATACAATACAGGGCTTTCTTGAAGATATTTAGGGGTATTTCATTTTGATTTTTGGGCCATTTTTTTAGTAATTTACAACACTGCTTTGGGGATTGTAATAACAGTACAAGTTAAAAATTGATTCATCATGTGTCACCTCACTACCATTGTTTGTTCTGTGTCAGTCCTTAATTTTATTCAGTAAAATTTATTGAGTTGCTCTGACACTGAAACTTAAAAAGCCATCTTTTACGGAATTACTAATAAGACAATGAAGTTCTCCTGAAAAATTGTATAGAATGTATAAATGAATGATAAATAATATTTACCCTATTATATTTAATGGTTACTTGTTAATTATTGGCATAATGAAGCGTTATTTGAATACACCGTAAAAAGATATTGTGGTTATTTCTACCATTTTCTCCATCACCTTTCATCGGTATATAAATTTATTTATTTATTTACACACTAAATTGTTTTCGAAACTGAAACCGAATAAAAAAATGTAAATTATCTGAATTAAGGTTCAAAATACGTTTCAAGATTCATCCAGTGTTGAGAATATAGGAAATTTTTTCAATTTTTATTTTGTATTTATTTATTATCCGGTTTTGGAATTGAGATTGATTTCCTTGTTTAACTATATGGATCAGTGTTGCATTATATTTATAAAAAATATATTCATAGGTCTTGACGGAAATCTGAATATTTTAATTTTTCGCCGGATAGCAGTGATCGACAATTTGCACAGTAATTTTTATCGAATTGGATATTGGCATTTGAACATTTTGACTTGTACTAGGCATGCCATTAAAATAAGTTTACAATTAAGTTAGCATACAACCTTTTGATTATATAACAGTCACAATAGTCACAAGCGACACATCTTGTTTGTATTCTACTGTATGTGCTCCCTACTACATATAATCTCCCTACTAATATAATCAACATCACTGTGAGGTGAAAGTCGACAATCCTATGTTACAATTCGAGCTTATCTGCTTTATTAATCATTTATTACTTTTCTACTTACTAAAAAAATTTTATTCATTAAAGAAAAATCAATAATGAAATAATCAACAAGCACAATTCTCAGGTCGCTTATAATTGTCGAGAAAAAAAAATTAAAACATGTTATTTTCACTAAAGAAATCCACTATATTAAAAAAAAGAGTTTTTAAAAATACTGAAAGTACTGTTACACTGACGTACTGGGTGATCATAAAAAAATAACCACGAATGCTGAGCTAACCTTCTAATCTACTCTATCCGATTCGGATTGCTCTGTGTCGGATCTGTGACTCATTAAATTTAAAAAAAAAAATGTTTTACAATCGATACAAGTATGACGTCGCTCGCTTCCTATATTTATCATGTTGGTAGTTGTAAACAGTTTTAGTACTGTTTATTGAGTTTTTGAAGTCAAATGATTAAAATGCCAGACTTTCTTAATGAAAATAATAATTTTAAAATATTTTTTTTGCGAAAAGCATAAGCGACCAGAGAATTCTGTTTGTTGGTTATTTCATTAGTGCTTTTTCCCTACCGAATAAAACTTTGTTAGGCTGAAAAACGCTCGGCGCTAATGGAAAAAAATGCCCAATATTTTATTTGAACATAACACAAGAAAAAGGAAATTATATTTGTAGTAAATGAAATTATATTAGACACTGGAATAGAATTAATAGAAAATGTAAATTTGATGCTTTATCAAAAACAGAGGGAACATTTAAAATAAACGTAGTAATTTTGAGCCCTATTCGTAAGGGGTTCTTGTGAAAGCTAGTGTATTTCAGTAACATTAAAACTTGTTAGAAAAATGTAATAAATTAACATGGGAATTTTACGAACTGTCAAATGTTTAATAAGGGCATTTGTTGGTGCACATACAGACATATACAGCAGATTCTAACAATTAATGATAGATACCAACGTATGTTGGTAAATATCAACAAATGCTTTTAAAATATGTAGAGAAAATACATTTGTTTTGTTATAAAGTCAGATGTTATATATTTTTATACTCTTGACTAAAAGCAGATAGCAAAAACCATCATTAAGAAGTCACATTAATAGCTATAGGGCATAGTATGGTTCCGAAGTAATTTGTTACCGTGTACAATAATTTGTAATTTAAATAGTTTTCTCTTTTCTTTGTAGTAGGAACTTTGTTTACGTTTTTGTAATTATGGAATATGAG